TTAGGGTTACTTTTGGATGTCTCTTTTTTAAGGATTCTTTTTCTAAYTCGCAAGATAAATTAAAGCTGGAAAACAACAATGAGAAGAATTTTAATTCTTAAAAATTCCGTGTTCATCGACAAAAAATAATCAAAACAATGACCTAAATGGCCACCAAGAACCATAGGCCGCCCAACTATTGCTTTAGAGGCTTAAAAGAACGAATGCGCACGCTTTTAAAATGTATATGTTGTCGGCACGCGCTCTTAGCAAAATTGCGGGGTACCTGTGGTATACGTCACGATCCTGTGTCTCGAGGGACTACACTAACAAGTGTTTCACATCTTGTCACAGACTAGTTTTTGATCCCGCGAGGTATGGGATCACTGACGTAATACCACAGGTAACCGGCATTTAGCTAAGAGCGCGCGCCGATAACACCAGCGTAAAAGCGTACCTGCGCATTCGTTCCTTTCTTTCTCTCAAGCAATAGTTGGGTAGCCTATGTCACAGACTAGTGTGTAGACCCGCAAGGCAAGGGATCGTGACGTAGTACCACAGGTAATTAACCCGCATTTTTGCTAAGAGCGCGCGCCGATATACATACATAATAAAAGCGTGCGAATTCGTTCTTTTCTGTCTCTAAAGCAATAGTTGGGCGGCCTATGCAAGAACTTACCAGTCTGCTTCATTGAATGTCATCAAAGTGTCGAACGAATGTCTGAACTTCTCGTCAGGAACTATAGTGTAATTTTTGGCTGCTTCTTGTAGTAACTTTATTTGAGCAATAATTTCAAATTCCTTGAAGAGAGAGAAAAAATYAGTTGTACACAATCAAACAATATTACTAAAATCTCAGAAGAAATAAAGCTGAGAGGAGCAGCAAAGAAGAGACTGAGAACGCCAGAAGTATATTGAAAGCCGGATCAAATGGAGAAAATAATCGAGAACATAATCAGAACAGTGTAAAGGAAAATTAAAGAAAAAAAAACAAGAAAATTAAGCTAGGAAATAGAAGAAAATGAAAGACTGGAGGAGGAAGAAGATGAAGACGTTCGAAGAAGAAGAAGTCGCAGAAAAAATAAAGGAAAAGGAAAAAAACAACGATATTGGATGACTTACCTTACGCCTTTTGTCAAAATTAATCAACCCATCCTGAAATTGTAAAATAAAGCATTCCAAAGTTCATATTATACGAGACTTAGATAATTTATATGAGATTCTCACATCGTGTATTCATGAGAAAATCTGTCGATCGGCATTAGTGGAATAATTCTCTGTACTAGTGCGCTTGTATTGTCACGTATTGCATATCAGGGGCGGTTCCATCTGGTGGGTGTGCAGTGCAGGGGGTGCGCCCCCCCGAGATCTGTATCCTTCAATACTTTCCTTATTTTGTATCTTCATGGTAATGATTTTTGTCAGGGTTGCATCCCCTCCTGAGAGCCCTGCACCCCTACCTGAGGAAAACCCTGGATCCCCCCTGCATTTGAAAAATGCCTGCACATTCATGGAAATAGATCGCAGGTCTTAATTGCTGATTAAAAGCTTACACATTCAAGAAATGTTAGTACAACWTTTGGGGATTTTCACTTGGAAATTGTCTGTGAAATCACTGCGCGTGCGCAGACTGTTTACATGTGCGATARAATCGACGCAAAAATCGCATCCCATATGTGAGAGACAAAGCTGCCAGTGTAAAAATGTCTTGGTACCTCTACATAATCTTGGTGYGCAGAGTCAACCATCATCAAGTCCGTTAGGAACGTCCCTAAGTATGGAACCGTYCCTTGCATTACAGCATCCTGTGAAAATATAAAACCGGTCTTATTAACAAAAAGATTCTCTATGATATAATGGGACTTTATTGGACTAAGAGCAAAACGCATTATTAGAATGCAAACACTAAAACCATGAAAAATTTAAGGAATTAAATTGTGATAAATATGCATTGTGCAGCGATGCCATTTTGTGCAGCAAAGCATGATGGGAGTTGTAGTCCTCGTACTTACTTCATGTCCGAAAAACAGTTCTTCTACCAAACTTTTTTGCTTTTTCGAAACAAAAATAGATATAAGAAATATTACTGAAAATAGATATTGTTTTGAGGTTTCTACAAAGAAAGCAAAAACAGCCTTTAAGGACATCAGTTTAGGGTCTATGATGAATGCAAGGACTGCAACTACCATCATCTTTGGCTGCACAAAATGGCATCGCTGCACATTGCCTATAGACCCCTTGCAGTTCATGGGAATGCRGCTSCAACTGGAGGACAAAACAATGGATTCTAGTTCCCAAGAGGATAAAAATCTTTTGTTTTGTCCTCCAGATGAAGCTGCTTTGACGTCACATGCAAGGGGTCTATAGTCCGAATTCCTTTGTTTTCTACTGTCTGAACATCACTAYATTGAACTATTTAGCATTATTTGTTTTGTACTTTTTAGCGACTTTAGTGTTAAGGTCGCTAGGTTTTCTACAAACATCTTTAGTTCATGTGGCCACATATGGTGCTCTCTCTCAAAAGCTGGACCACAATGCACCTCGACTTTGTATTTCAAAATAGATCCAATCAGGAGATCCAATGAAATAATGAAACCGGAAGTGACGTCACATACCGTRTTATAAAATCTCGAACGTCGTTTTTTAAGGCTGTTGAGTCGCTTTAGTCCAGGAAGTTCAGTATCGGATCTTTTAGCTGTGCCTTCCTATATCCAAAACGAAAAGGATTTGTATTTCAGAAACAAAGCAATGGGCRRGGTWGTTCACGTTTACCACAATTATGTGAAWCCTCGCGCGCYGATTGGCTGATTCAAGTTGTGTTCATAACAGGAAATTCATACAGCGCTGATGCTATCACGTCTCGCGCTCTCTCAGCTGAAAGAAATGAGCTTTTTTCGCATTTTTAATTTTCATCTCGCAAATTTTTACCAATTTGTTTTTACTAACTAAGTGTAATGCAAGTTTATTGCATTCTCGAAGAAAGACCTCCGTCCAATCAAAGCGCGTGTTGTATATCCTGATGATAAAATCAGCCAATAGGAATGYGCGTAATATCTCAGTGTTTACTAACCTTCATTAGTAAGTCTCTACTCATTTGTTGGTTTTTATCTTCGGAAAAGATCGACGCTAAYTCGGCGTAAAGTAACTGCCAGTCTCTACAATTGACGGAAAAAACAGATTTTACGTTATACCTTACGTCACAGCCGCCATGATTGACGCTTTTTGACAAAAGGACAAGCGTCATCTAGTCTTCTTTCCTTTGCCAGCTGTACGTCACGTTAGCGCACAAACGACAAACATCAGGTCAGTTGCATTCTACCGTTTGCTGGTCGTTCGTCACATTAACGTAAAACGTAAAGTCAGCTTCGGTTGCTTTCACGTAAAAGAATAAAATGACAAACACCAAGTGTTTGTGATTATTTTGTCTTACTTTTCTTGCATTGAATGGTTTCCCGTCCAGAATCGAGAACAATACGGAAATACAATAAAAACGCAACCTGTAATGTGTCACCGCACGTCAAATACAAAATTACGCAAAGGTACCAACGACGTAAGCATTACGCACGTAATAAGCTGCAGTTCGTACCTTGGCACATGCATCCATGTTTTCTTTAGTCTATGAATTGAAGCCGATTGAAGTCCAGAAATGATTGCTTTTAACGACGAGAAATTCTTTAATTCTCKACATTCCTAATAGAAAACAAACACCAAATATCAATGATACTCCACAACGGTTATTTTGAAAAAAAAAAGCGTAAGGTATTACGCTCCAAGGCTACGTACCTGTGCGATGTCTATCCARTGTATAATATGTTTGGCTCGCTTACTCGCGGATCCTTTTTTTCCGTTACACATGAGAATAGTCGACACTACTCGTAGTAAGACAGAGTTAAACTGATCAACAGTGTTTTTTACAGTATTATTTTTGTGTTTTCTTCGTCGGTTTGACCAAACAGAACCTAAACARTGCCACGGGATGACTTTACGGAACAGTTCCTATGAAAAAAGGAGCTAAAAGTCACGTAAAGAAAAAGTCACGCGCGGAAAGTGATGGAAGTGCATTAACCCGTCACAGTACTGACCGTTAACGACAACGCACCGATATTTAACGTTAACGCAGCGATGAACGTAGCAATATTTATTGTCAACGTACCGACACTATAACGCCAACGTATCACAACGTACGTAACGACACTCAACGTCAACGACAATGTACCTAGACTTAATGATAACGCACCGATGGTTAACGTTCAAATACCACCACTTAGCGTCAACGCACCACCAGTCAAAACGCCAAAGTACAACTACTTTACGTCTACGTACCGACACTCAACGTTAACGCACCGATGAACCTAACAACAATTATCGTCAATCTACCGACACTGTAACGCCAACGTATCCCCACTTAACGCCGACGTAACGACACTCAACGTCACCGCACCGATCAGTAACGTTAACGCWTTAACACTTTTCGTTAACGCAACGACACGCACTTTAACGCCAATGCAACACCACTTACCGCCAACGTACCKATACTTAACATCAACGTACTGAAACTTGAGGAAAATGTACTAAAATGTACAGTTAACGTACCGTACTCAACATAATTAACATAAACGCAGGAAAATAAACTCATCGTAACGTGTCTCTGCGTTACGGCAAGGTGTACTTACAGCATCCATAAGCGTCAACTGCTCGGCAAAATACGTTGGCTTTATGGACAACAAGTCGAAGTCAAGTCCTTCGTATGAGCCACTTTTTCTATCGGCTTCAACGGTATAGTCGACATCTTTGACCATKGATAGTCGAAAACTAATGGGGTCTCCTATGATGCAATAATAAAATAAATATGGAGGCAGGGCCATGGTATGGAGTTTCATGCGTTGGATCCAATTTCTTTTATTTCTTGCTTTCCCTTTTTTCGCAGTTTCAAGGCTGAGAAGGACGAAAGTGCCTGACTGCCAAGGAATGGGGTTCCGGAACCCTTGGAATCCCTGTATCCCCTCCCCTCTCCCCCTTCCCCGCGCACGCCCTTGTGGAGTACTTTTTCACTTGAAGTCATATCGATCAAGGCACCGTGACCGTGTTGTGTGTTGCCCGTGACGTGATCCGTTAAGGTGCACAGTAGGCAATTTTCCTCTAAAAAATCCAGACCAATAAGAAAAAAAATTAAGGCCAGATCAATGAGATGGGAATGAGAGGGGAAGGTGGTATTATAAACTTCAATTTTCCTTTGTCTTTATCAACACAACATCCACCCTCCATATCCACACCCTTTAGATTTTGACTATCAGCTTCGTACCTTCGCTTTCGTAAGGCGTTATGATAAATGTTTGTAGTTTCTCTTTGATTTTCTTGGATAAATCTTTGGTAAATTCATCATCCATATCCTCTTGCATAAACGTATTTAGTCTCTTTAGGTTGGTGTAGTTTGGAGGTTTATTGAAATCAGAAGAGAACTGTTCTAACCAGACCATCATCACTCCTGCAAGACTTCTGTAGAGACAAGACATATAACTTAGAAATGACAGTAAAAATACTGGATGGAGGGGATAACAGATAAAAAAAATATTGGATGAGGGTGGGGTGACAAATAAAATATTGGATGTAGCCGGAGAGGCCAACTGTAAAGATTTATTGTATGAAGAGGTGTTGACAATAAAATCATTGGATGTGGAAGAGGTTGGTAGTTAAGGAGATTAGATGGAGAAGGGAGTGACATAGGCATATTGGATGGGGAGGGATTGACAGTAAAAATATTGGGTGTGGAGGGTGCGACATGGTGTCAGGTGTAACAGTAAAGATATTGGATGGGGTGACAGTTGAAATATTGGATGGTTCAATGGAGATGATAGTAAAGAAATGGATGGGGGAGGGAAGGACAGTGAAAAATATTGGATGGGGGGTGAAAGTGAAAAATACTTTGGAAAGGCAGAGGGCTGTGATGGAATGAATATCTCCAAAAATGTTGACTTGACAAAAAAATAAATACATGCTTACTTGATAATTCTGTCACTTTCTTCAGGGTGTTSTTGTTTGTTGGCTTTGGCAGTAAGACATCTTTTACAATCAAAGATAAAATATAAAGTCTTCAATTTATTAGGCTTGCAAAACATACACAATCTGTATTAAAATKAAAATATAATTGAACCTCTATTAAGCTGACTTCTAAGACCAGCAGGTCTWAATTCCAAGGGCGACCACTAAATAGAGGTTCAATTCTTTTTAAATTCTAAAATGTTAAATTTTGTTAATATTATCCATATTAAAACTCTCGACTTTTATAGAGCTAGCTGTGATCTTTTAAAATTTAAGTTGACTTTTGTAAACCCACAGTGATAAGTTACTTATTCCCAGACCTTCTGGCATTGAAAAGGGCTAATTACCAAAGTTTCTAATAGTTATATTCCAGCAAAATAAAGAAAGTCTGTTTTGCAATCTAACACTCAATTGTTGATAATAGTGACCACTAGTTTCTTAAAAATTAACCTATTTCATGGTCTGCTGAAAACCACTGTATTGAAACAAAGGACTTTAGTGTGCTAATTTGCACAATTTGAAAGCCGCATATTCAAAAGATATAATAAATACAGTCTGTCAGCTGCTGTTAACTTTATCTTTGAGTATAGAATTTTGAATAATACGATTCGTCTTTGATAAAGGCTCCCTGATGTGACATTAACCTCCTCCCTCCCCTCCCTTCACTAGTTTTATTCGTGAAGAAATGTTTTTACCGATATAAAACCAGCTGGTCTTTTCTGCTTTTACTCGTGCGCAACACGATAATAATATTGTCAAAATATAACAAATGTAAAYAACTATAAGATAATAATAAAGATTGAAGGTTTACAAACCTTTCTAGAACAAGTTCCAATACATTCTCGACTTCAGCGAAAGCGCGATATGTTGACAAGAAGGCCATCAAGAACCCAGGRTCCATGTCTTCCTGSGAGCTGTCTTTTCGCGGCACGAGGTTTTCTACGAGTTTAGCAAGCGAACCAGCTTTGATTTTCTTCACTAGCACCGTCTCCCATTGTAAATGAGAAACTGGTTCTTCGTTTGAATCGCTGCCACTACTCCGATAGCGAACTTTCTTGAAGGAAACCCCGTAAATYGCATCTTCTTCTCTTTCTTCGCGAAAAAATGAGGTCTGAAGCCGAGAAAATAATTAAATGAATACGTAAATATTAGTTATTCGATGAGCTATAATCAAGAGAAGTATTTTAATTGACATGAAGTCTGTTTGTTAAGATATATTMTATTTGTTTTGAAAATGTAGCGTGCATATAGATTTGTTACGAGGCATTTCAATGTCACACAACTCATTGTATACACAGGAACAAAGTAKTCAAAGTGTAATGAGCTGATCATTTCAGTTCATTTTTTGACATATTAAAACTAAAGCGATTAAGACTTGCTTTAAATGTTAGACTCTTAAAGTTATTCGTAACGAGAAAAAGCCTCGTAAATAAACCGATATATTTCTAGAGGCTGAGGGAATCTTTGAAATTTCACTTTAAAGTAAATTCTTGTTAATAATGCATAAAATCAAAGTAAGAGATTCCTAAAGACTACATAMCAACACAACTTCAAATTCTACCAACTGCGCAAACATAGATAGCGAGATTCTCGATAATAACAAACTTCAACATTGCGAGTCTSTCAGGGAAGATCGCTTGCTTGTACAAACACTTACGTGAACTGGAGACTTGTTCCGAGGAAGACTACTCATTTTAAAATCTTTAAATTCTTCCACAGAAGTCGTTCACCTCGAATCATCATCCTAATATTACAGTGTGAAAAAGATACAAARCCATAGAACAAGTGGTTTTATGGTTTTTGGGAGATATAAGTTAGCATGTCGTCGCGACGGTCTTATCGTAAATATGATATGACACAGTATGAACTACGTCACACTCAACAGAGTAAAAGGTCGCCTTCCGGGCTGTTTCAAGTTTCCGCTGTGTGAGCTCATTTTGTGTACAAAACGTGTTACAGACCGGTTGTGACTGCTCCTAGTACTTAGAAAAAAGAGCAGACAGAAAAGTTTCAATTATATAAAGTGCTCTTGGATATTTTGATCCGGTACAAACTCAGCTGTTTTGAAGTGTCATATACGGTGYGCGCGGCAAATCGATGCGGATCAGCGCGAAAATTCCCATTTTTGGCATGGTTTGATATGGTTGGATTAAACCGTTTAACTACTCTCTTGGCTACTATTAAAGCTATAGGATGATACAATGATTCAAAAATTGATTAACGTACTTTTAAGTACTATGATTTTAAAAAAACATACTTGAAAATGCATATCACAAAACAAGCTCAACAAGAAAAATGGAAAATCACAAAATTGAAATAAAAATTTAGCAAATATTTGGCACGTAAAAGTTAACTAGTGCTGGGCATATATACAAAATATTTTCACAAAATTTGTCTCTTGGAACTTAATTGTTAGAAAGTTATAGCGAAGCGTAGCAGGCGTGACAGGTTTATTTTGATATGATATTTTCACCTGTTCATRCAGGTTAACCATGTGCTTAAACACAATGAAAAAAACTCGTGGTGTCACAGAATTCGACCGGGTTTTTGTTAACTTAACTAGCGTTACGTCGAATGCAGGAACGACGGAACACCGGCTACTGCACGACAATGTTTTGAAATGGTCTCTGAAATGGTGTAATTCACGCTGTTCGGTTATTCGTTCACACAACTCGACAAGAAAATGATTCCTTGAGCTTGACTTTGTGTAAACCTTGAAACAGAGATTCTTGTAGATTTACCCATAATACCCTTGGGTCAGACCAGCGAATCAAGGAGCAACATATGAATATTGATGGCGAAGGATGAGAAGACTGTAGTTGATTTTTTATTGTATTTCAACAGTTTACACGCAAAAATAAACCAACTCGCACACACATATATTGCAAAGATGACCTGTTGACCAGAGAAAATAAAGAAATTACATTTTCTTTTAATCAAAATATTCACAAGTAAATACCATTATATGGAAATCTTGTAGGAAAGTCTCGAGTGGACTGGRAAGAAAGAGAGAGGAGCGCTCTCTTCATTCTCCCCAATCCACTTCCTACACAGGAACCCCAAAAAAGAAAGAAGKAGTCTGCCCCTTCTTAACAGTGTTTTTTAAATTCTTTCCTTAGGCACAAAAACTGTTCTTACTATTAAATAATTCACTTTGATGTGAAGTAAATAATTACCTAAAAACTGAATCCTATTTCCAATATATTAAGCCTTCATGGCTGCTTTGGTTAGTGCTTGTTGGTAATCTTGCTGTAATTTGCTCAAGCCATCTCTACTTGTTGTTTTCTTCTTTTCCATGTCTTTAATGAGTGTATCTTGTCTTTTCCTACACAGAAAAATATTACCAAAATATTTAGTCATCATTGTCTTTTCTGCAAAAAAAGGTTTTATTAATGGGATGCTAGACTCCCTGCAGCCGTTTTCCGGTGTCGTCTCCTTACACGGAAAACGGCTGCGGGGAGTCTAATGTGGTGCTGGTCAAAATGCAAAATTGGTCAATTGAAAACAGATATATGACGCCTGCTAACAAACCAAGAAAGGACTACAATGGCTAATACACCATACACAGTGAACTTGCAATTCATTAATTTAAAAACTGAACAACTGCTGCAATTTGTTCAAAGCTCACACAGCGCTAATCCTGGATTAACTCTGTTTAACCCTGGATTGTCGCTAATCGGGTCTTGAACATCCCGGACCTGGGGGATTTTTTATATTTCAGAGATCATGGAGAAAAAATCATGCTAAAAAGACACTCGAAAACTTAGGTACAAGACTCTGATTGTCATTTCTAAAGGTACCACGGGCGTCCCAGCCTCTGATATAAAGACCTGATCAATTTTCTAGAAATGATTACCAGTAAAACAGGAAATATTTGAACTGAAATCATCTAGTACTTACATCTCTCCTGATATGTAATCAATTCTCTTGCTTACAGTTTGTTTTGCTTCTTCTAAGTCTTGTTTAACCAATACAGGTCCTATTAGTTTATACACATTTCCCTCTGACTCAATTTTGTCTAGTTCCTGGAAATRACATTAATATATATGCATAATTTCTAAAACATACACATGTAAAGCAAGGAAACTGCTGTTTTAGTTGACAAAAGTCTCTTATGTTTAGAGACTTTACAAAAAATAAAAAGCGCAAAAAAATGTCTTCATTACTGACAATAGTTCTACAATTTGCATTTTCTCCAATTTGAGGCTAAGCCTGCATTCCCACAATCCTAGAGTTTAAGCCTTCTGGGAATACAGCCTTAGCATCAAATCTTAAAAGATTCATATTACTACAGCAATTATGCTTTCTTTTGTTCCCTCTGCAACAGACGTCGCTCTCTGCAACAGACGTCACTTGCATTGAACGGGAAAAAGCTTACTAAATATTATATTTTCATTTATATCTAAAGTCCTTGCATCCTTGGTAACTTGTGTTGAGTTACCTAAGTGTGTTACCATTATAAAGTCTCCTTGACTAGTACATTTAATGGATGTCAAGCCAACCTCAATGTGTTGTAAAATTCTAATTACCCCACTAAAYATCTCTATGTCCTACTCTCGGTCAAATAGAGGGAAATGAGTCATTTTATATCACTAAATAATGTGTGGAGTATAGAGATGGGACCTTTCAGCTTTTTCTCCGTTTTGAGAAGAGGGCACCGAGAGAGTATGGTGTTTTGACTGAGGACACAGACTCCTCGCAATACATGATCAGGCACCAAAAACATGATGCAAAGATATACATTTACATGTGATAAACAGTGATTGTATACAAAGCTCTAAACACACCTCCTTAACAACATTGTTTTCTGCTAGTTGGGCATCAAGTTGCTGTCTTGTCACAACTGACTTTTGTAAATCTAGTTGAAAAACGACAAAATAGTAACAATTTCACGCTTTGAATCATCTTGAAATATCATTCAACACTTTTATTGCATATTTACCTTTCTGAATTCCTTTAAACTTTTCTACTTCGGTTTGAATTTGCTGTTGAATTCTTTCCAAGTTCGCCGCCATCTTGAATCAAAACACAGGGACCCCAAAAGTGGGATTGTCAAATGTTTACATCGCGGGCTCGTCTACTAGTAACGCCTGTCGGAAATWGACCATTACACAACGATTTCAAATAAAAATGTGGAGATTTCTAAGGGCTGGATACAACCGATTTCTTGGTTGTTACTTCAAAGAAGGTTGGTAGAATCTTGAAAGCTGTTTTGTTACCAATAAAAATGGTTATAAATTCATCTTGAATGTTGTTGTTGCCGAAAGGACCTTCCAGCAATGCAACGAGAAAACTATTCTTTACAACATTGTCGCACAACAAAGCRGAGAAAGAATCTAAAATGCATTTGCTGTTGTTGGSGATCCCTGTGACGACCTTTGGTCTTGGTTGTTGGCAAGTGAAAAGGCTTTCTTGGAAGAAAGGATTGATCAAAGAACTCGAAGAAAGAACCACAGCTGAGCCTCTCACAGTGACTGATARGTAAGATTTCATTTTGCATTGAGCATGCAAATTTATTATATTCTAATCAGAATTTTGATCTCGCTGATATKGTGCCATCACATTCTTCTCAGTTTCCAAATCCAAATTGAAGACTCAAGTCAGAAACAAATGATTATTTGATTTGATTGGTACAAAAATTCCCAAGCAACGTATCATATGACCCAGATTCTGGGTCCTCTGGTATCGTCTCAAACCAGAACCTTCAATTCTGAGAAGGATCTGGGTATGAGAGTGGTGCCTTCAAAGCCTGTAGCAAACAATTTGTCCTCATACCTCCTCCCTATTGATAAAAACTCCCCATAATTTTTGATGCAGAGAGGGAGGGGTGGGAATATCATAACATAAACTGACTGGCCCTTTTTTTTGCCCAACTCTCACAGTATTGAAGACCTTGATATTGCATCTCTTGAATATCGCCGTGTCCGGATAAAGGGGAGATTTGATCATACATGTGAATTTCATCTAATGCCAAGATCACTTAATGAAGAAGGAGGAGGTGCTGGGGGACTGGGAAGGAAACCCAAATCAGGAGCTCAAATTCTTACTCCATTTATATTGTCAGGAAGTGGGTAAGACTCAAAAAATCAATCAATCAATCAATACCAATTATTCAATCAAACAGATCACGACACACAATTCCCTCATGTTTAGGAGACCAGATCTGGGTAAGCTCTATCTGAGTTACAATCAGAAAAAATAATACACAAGGCKCAGTGTCCTGTCTTTTCAATTTCCTCCAACAACTAGCCAGAAAGACTACCATAGAATTGACAGGCATATTGTCAGTAATACAGAGCAAATAATGCTACTAAAAGTATAGAATCTAACAAGAAGAATAACTATTGATAAAGCAATCAGTCATTCAAAGAGACAAAAAAGGRAAATGCAGTTTGTACCTAAACTTAAGTGGTGATTCTTGGGCCTCTCTTGTTGTAAATYATTATTATTATTTTTTGTTAAAYAGCCAAAGAATTCTAGTAAATAGAGGTTGGGTACCATTGGACAAAATCCAACCAGACAAAAGAATAGAAGGCCAAGTATGTATATTAATCTAATTCAAATCAGAGACCATATTGTTTCCACACCCAGAAAAAATAGCTATCATTATTGTCAGCATCATAAAATTTTATCATATAGCAATTATCCCCATCATCAACATCCATTGTTGTAATTGATACAGTTGTGATTTCAGACTGAAGATGAAGTCGAAATGGTGGTATTCATACGCAAAGATGAAAAGGTACACTTACTGTACAACAGACTTCTATAAAGTCATAATTTATTTGTGTGTGTTCTTTTGCGACCTCTTGGCCTCCACGCTCAACCTTAAAACAGGGTCTGACTTGGGCAAGTCTAACAACACTTTTAAAAACATTAAATCACCTACTTTGTTCTGCTATACAGTATCATTAATGTAATGTTAACATTTTCATCTTGCCACCAGCGTGCTCAATTTTCCCCTAAGAATAACATTGCTATGAACCGATGGCATTACCGGGATGTTGATGCYATGGCAAAGATTGCAAATTGCCTTCCTATCCAAGTAGATGCAGATGCAGGTAGGAACAATTCTTAGTGTATTACTAGCTTGTTGTGTAATATCAAGTCCATTCAGACAATCCTGTGTTTGGTGATGGATTTCAAACACATGGAATCCCTGTGTTAAGCGTTGGAATGAGTTATTGTACAACAGGGCCATTTTCGCTCTCATGGTTGAAATTGTAACTGTGAACTGTAACACTTCACTATTGCACTTGCATTTCTGCAAGGAATTATAAGCTTAGAAATATATGCATTTAATGTCAGTAATTGGCCTTTACCTAAACGAGCAGGAGACTGGGTACTAGTTATCTAAATTAACCTAAATAAAAAATTAATCATATCATTGGAAAGACCACCACAAAATAAACAAGATTCCAAAGTTTGGTTGCTTTTGGTTAAATAATGTGTAAGTAATGGACCTTGAAAATGTTCGAAAATTACAAGGAAATGTATGGTTTGGATGGACAGTGTCCATCCAGTACCCAGTCTCCTGCTCGTTTAGGTAAAGGCCAATATGAAGTTGATTTCTAGCCAAAAGAAATGATGATGAAGAATGGGGATGCAGCATCGTACATCTGAACTGTTTTGACTATATAATAACATTGTAGTGGTTGATGTATTTTCAGGTAGCAGCATTCCAGGAGGACCCATTGGCGGGCAGACACGTGTCTACTTGAGGAATGAGCATCTTCAGTACATTATAACATGGTAATTATTCTTATTACTACTTTCATAAGAAATTGTTGTATATTTTTCTGCATATTCCTTTCTCCCTTTTGTTCAGTTTTTGTTC